ATCGGGGGTGCCGCCGAAAATGGCTGTACTAGCACCGGAGGGTGCTCAAATGGTGCCAATATTGGGCTCGACGCTGGGTGCTCCACAATCGGCGGGTGTTTAGGCGACGCTGGAGGTTTAATCGGTAGTGGGGGTTCCATCGAAGGTGGTTGTTCCAAAGATGGCGGGTGCTTAGGCGACGCGGGAGGTTTTCTTAATACCGGGGATGCCATCGAAGGTGGCTGTACTAGCAACGGAGGGTGCTCGAATGGTGTTGGCATTGGACTCGGCGCTGGGTGCTCTACCATTGGCGGATGCTTAGGCGACGCCGGGGTCTCGATGGGTACTGAGGGATCCATCGAAGGTGGATGTACTAGCGCTGGCGGTTGCGTAGGCGATGCGGAGGGGTCCATCGGTACCGGGAGTACCGTCGACGTTGGGTGTTCTGGCACTGGCGGATGTTCAAACAATGCCAGAGGTTCCAATGACGCCCAGCTCGATGCTGCGTCGACCGTCGCCGCAGCGCATTCGCTAGTAGCCAAGGCATCTCTTGCCGCCAAAAATGCTGATCAAGCCAGGAGCTCTAATAGAGCGGAGAGTTTCGTCAATAGCAGCAGTTCCATTGGTACTGGTACTTCTATGCTCGGAAATTCGAGCTTCGACAGCAAGGTCAACGCAGACGGGGAGGACACCATTGGCGGAAAATCTACCGCAAAATTGGGCTTTAGTTTGGGGGCAGGAAGCCGCATGGGATAAGCTTTGTAAATAAATTCCAAACTTGGCTTGCATAGCAATTACACGTCGCCAAATACATAGATAATTCTGGAATAACGAAAATCATAACAAAATACATTTTAATACATTAAATTTTAATTTTATAAAAGCATGTTTAGCATGTTGCAAATATATTTATTTCCTTACATTCCTAGTAATGAGAACGCCCCTTCTTCACTTTAGATTTAATTATTATGAGTGAGTCGAATCCTAAAGGAAACACGCTAAAATATTTTTAGCACATTTTTTACCTAATCCTTTAATAATTACCTAGTTTGTAAACGGAAAAGTGAAACGTCAAAGAGTAGAGTTACACCAACTTTCAAGTGTAAGAAGAGTTGCTAATGATTAGCCTACATAAGCCATGTCTGCATCAGTTCCTATTTCTAATACTTAATAGTTTATTCCGTGCATTTCATCTAGCATTACGCAATGCGTACCCATACTTATTCTCGTTAACTATTTTCAATAAGCTTGCCCAAATGTGTTTGATTATATACGAGGAGTTCCATATTTAAAAAATTTTTGTAAAAATCATTTTGAAGAATTGATAGGAAAAACGAAAAGGATCGTTCCCGATTTCAGCTCTTTCAGAGAAAGAGCTTAAACGAGTAGTAAGCTGTACACGAAAATGCTTTCGAGGTGATAGTAACAACAAACGTTTACGCTATTGATTAGAATATCGTTAAGAAGACGTGAATAGCACACGGAAGTGTTAATACAATTTTTTTTAAATTGGGAATAAAGTCATCACATTCTGAATCGTTTAAACTTGTCCTTCTGCCCGTCCTTGTAACGTTTGTTGTAAATATCGTCATAGTCGCAAAAATTAAACTATCAACTTCAAAATTAGCACAAACATTGCAAATTTCCACACGCAGCTTGGAAAACGGGCCAACAGTGTCAAATAAGGTGGGAACATCTCTGATTTTCAAAAAGATTAAAAAATGGGTTTTTGGCTTCTTAGTTATAAACTACAGCAATTAAGCCTACAAAAAGTGAAAAGAAACTATATGCTATGCGTGCCTCTATAAAAGTGAAAAAAGTCGGCCACACCTGCTTAATTTTATAGAGTGCCATAAACTCCTTCTTTTTTTCAAAACTTATGTAATGCACAGAAGCAAGGTTCAAAAACGCCATAAAGTATATAAAGTCGAAATGCACCTTAGCTTGTATGTCTGTTAACCTGTGCGCGACTGTGTAGTGCCTGTTCTGCCTTAGTTCTTTTTCTTTTCGTAGGATCACGGTGATGGGTATAAAAGATTCGATCACAACCGAGTATAATTTTCTTCTTTTCTTTTTCTTCTGGTTTATATTGAAGCAGAGAATTAAACAACTAGCATAGACTAAGTGAAGTGATCAAAAAATAAGAATTTTCAATATTTTCAAAAATAATTCAAGCTGATCTATGGTTATAAAACAAACCCAATTGAATTCAGATTGCATCGAAATTCAACAAAATGAAGCTACAGATGTTCCCCCTGATCGCAGTTTACTTTCAACTCATCATCACGTTTGGGCATCAGATTTTTATGTGTTCGAAATAATATTGGTTTATTTTGTTCCACCTAAATCGAGTCCTGACGTTGCAGTCAGAGTTAGCGTTATTATACGAAAAATTTAGACAGCTTAAAAATTACTTCTTTCTTACTCTAATATAAAGTATAATTGATTATTTTAATATCTGTCTCGTTCACTTAGCTATTCCGTACATCATAAGCTCTTATTGAATTAGATGTCGAATTACGTCCAGTAAAGTATAACGCATAATTCGAAACAAGGATCAGGTATCGTACTTTTGTGCGACTCTGAGAATGAGTACGGTCACGCGGTATAATTAGAAACCAACAGTTGCAGACACTTGAGTAACGTTTTATTTGTGTTATTATTTTTTCGAATCTACAAAGTACGCATTGGATTTTGATTAACGTTTCAAATGCCTTTGGGGCTAGATAAGTAACTTGACAGTGCTATGCAGAAATTTGAATGCGTAACGAGAGTTTTGACAATGTGCAGAAAGACGGACCTACCTCAGCTTACACGTCATGTCATCTGTAATTGGAGACTAATTGTCAATCACACGTAGTGCGCTAAAGTCCGTATTGTTAAAACTAGGTAACTTGTAAGAAAAAACGGACTGATTTCGCACCCCAAATGAGCTCTGATAATATTGAATTGTTGAGTTTTCTGGCGCTGTGCAACTTTTCGATTAATTCTTCCAGAGAAACAACACACGTATGACTTTCACAGACACAACAATATTTTCCAACATTTATTAAATACAGAGAAAGGAATGCATCAGGCATGATATTCTACTCCTTATTCTGAAAATTTGTAATCTCATTATTAAGAAGATTTTAATTTAGATATACAAAGTACGGTGCCTCTGTCAATCCAACTACCAGTTCGGGAATTTATGTATTCATTTTATTAACATTGCACAAAAATCAATTTTTGTGCAGCATTAAAAATGGAGTGCTAGCATTCAAGGCCATCGGCTCGAATTTCGAGTTCGGTATTGTTAAACACCGTTTCCCGCTGAGCTTCATTAAAAAATTTAAAATTTTGAAGCAAGTCCGTGGGTACACTATGTGAGGAGTAGTGGTTACAATATTCTTCACCACCGTGATAATATTAATACTTTTTCGACAATTCCTAGTATCAGTCTTTATTATGTATCAACCACTTATTCTTAAATTGTTCACATTTGCAGATCCCGCAACCTCTTCGATGTCTTCCCTCAGGCGTCCTGGACGTACATCAGTTATAAAATTGTGCTCATGACCTAATTTCACCGTCCAAAGTGTCCTTCTGCATTTTCAATGTTTTTGGTCCAAGATGTGTGAAATTTTCAAACCACGTTTCTAGAGGCACCCTCTACTTCTTCTATGCAGTCATTCCTTGTGATAATAAATAACAATCGAAATAACAAAACACAAAGATAAGACATCGATCTCTAGAACTGCTAAAATATGCACGATATACGCCTTTACTATGATATCGCTTAGTTCATATTTAGAGCTCATATAAATCATATTAAAAGAGCTTACAACACTTTTTAAGAATACGCTCCATTCCGTGATTAATATAACTTATAACAACTGGAAAGAAAACCTTTCATTTTCGTTAGCAAAATGAACAAATGAATTTATATTTTATTATTTTAAATTAACGTGAATAATTAAATCAGACAAATTTTTATTTATTTAGAGGAAAGAATGAAGTTTTTAATATTTACAGTAAGAGTTCTGTTTACAGAGGTGCAAGTTGCAGCTGCAAAACTAATTTTATTATCACACATTTAGATACAATAATGAGTAGCAAAGCTACACTGCAAGTTATGTGGCAAAATCTCGTTAGCGTGACGAACACAATAAGTGACCAGCTTCTAATGAAATCTAAAATGCTAACATTATGTTGGGCATAACTTTTTTAAAGAATAGGAAAACGTAAACGACATTTCTCAAACAACCCTTTCAAGTTTAATGCCACCAACAAGAGGAAAGCTTTATCTACAGCTTTATTCACGCATTGTGATCTGTCATTAATTACAAGACCTCGGGTCCGGTATTTGTTTGTCAACTTTTTCGCGACATTGTACTTAAAATTACATTTTGCATTCGCAGTCTACATTAAAAACTAAAATCGCCCTAGTAAGCAATTCTCCAGTGATAGCGTTTGTCAACTTATGAAAACCTTTTATGTCCGTTACGGTTTGATACTAGGCTTTGTATACTATACGTTACACCAGCCATACTCTATAAGTAACGAGCAAAAAACCAAGTTTCTTTTATTTTTGCAAACAGTGTGTTCCCGCGTTATGTTGCAGTTTCGTCTTGTTCGGTAACTGATTTAACTCAATTTAAATACTAACCTGCGGAAAAGAACTTCCAAATTTCAGGAGGCAGGTAAATAGACAGACGGATAGACGAATATAGACTTTATTAGGTCTCTGACGGTTCCTTCTAGATGCTGCAAAACTTTGGACATGACGACTACATCTTCATCTTTCTCATCCTTGGATGGTTTTGTCAACTCTCACAATGTAGTGCATTCAGTGGTGTATTCACATTAGGGCATAAGACTTGACATACCACAATTTCAATACAATTTCCGAACACTGTGCACTTTTTCTTATTATGAACATTAATAATTGTAGCATAAGCACTACCTTTAAGAAGTAATGCAATATTTTAATTGTGAACTCGTTTTGGTCCTTCACTTTAGGTTAAGGTTTATTGTACATATTTCTGAATAACTTAAGTAAAGAGCAAATGCCTTTAAATACGAATATGAAATTCGCACGACAGGTATGGTAGGCAACGATGGATGTATGGTTGGATCGATTGGCAACGCAAATGAAGGGGCAACAGCAACAAACAAGTCTAAGAAAGTCGGATTTCCGTTGCTCGCTCCTCCCCTCTTCTCATCAATAAAACAAATACCTTAAATATACTTCAAAATGGTAGGTGATGAATGAATACAAATTATACAAGTAAGAGTGAGTTGAAGAGATTTAAAATCTTTTTCTGTTTAATCATAAGTTGTGATAATTGAAGATAGACCGGATGAAGGAAAACGTAGTCAAGGAAGTTAGCCATTTCTTTTCCTTTGGGGATGTTGCGTAGGATGTTAAATTATGGCGCCACAACAAGTCCAAGCCTTGCAGTAGCAATAGTTTGCGTAAGCAAAGCAAAGCAAAGGGGAGGAGCGTGTAAATGTGTCAGTCTTTACAGGGCATTAGGATAAGGATATATTGCACGCGCCTTTCCTGTGGTTATGGGAGTACAAGAAAATAAACTTCTTGTAGGGACCTGTGGACTACAGCTGAGAATACTCCATCCGTAACTTGATAGGACGTAAATTCGCGAACATATATGTTTTTACATCCTTACATAATATATAACTCATGTACTCCGTAAAGAAAGGGGATATTTTACTTATCCGACTCAGGCTAGCTTCTTTTCGCTCTCTCTCAATACACCAGGAACCGCGCGAGATTCGCGAACCCTTCATTCGCGCATTGCGTTGATGGACATTGAATTGAAACTACAAGTCCAGTGCTATTTTACTTCACATACAGATCCTATGATTTCTTTAATATACATTG